GGAGATTGAGCAACACTCCGAAACAAATGCCATTCCAACTATTATATTGGCTCAGCAATGCCTATAGCGAACATTGGCCGGGTCTTGAGGGACAACTCGGTTCGCCATGCCCATGCCTGACAAAAAGCTCCGTGAGATCCTCCGCAGACTTCTCATTCTTGATGCGCCTAGAGTTGCTTGGCTTGAGGTGTCCAGGTTAAGGCCGGCTTCTAGACAGTGGATACCTATATGTATATATATATATTATACTGTTTAGTTCTGGGTTTTCAATTTTAAGACCAAACCCCAGCTGCTCTGAAACATGTAAGGTTCTATTGCTGGCCATTGTGTTGCTGGTGCACACTGAAGGATTGGAGTGGGCTGAGGCAGTTGTGGGAATCTGGGGCTGCCGTTCAGGTGATGTCAGCATCCAGCTTTTCACATTGCATATGCACGCATGATATTTATATATATATACTGTCCACTTGTACTATTTTCCATATGTTCTGTATACACATGATCAAGTCATGCTACGTTTGCCTACAAGTACATATGTATATATATATAAATATATGTATGAGTATATACATAAATACCTGCTCAGAAAGCCTGAGAACGATTAATGCAAACACATATGTATATAAAGAATATATATATACATATATCATATACACATACATATGTATATATGTGCAACTTAGTACCGAACAGTATTGCGGGCGAGCTGGTCCCCATCTTGACGTCGCAGGTATACGATGCTGTGGAAGTGTTTTGTGGCGTGGCTTCTTTAAGCCGCTGCTTGCAGTTGGGCGGCTACGACACTGCCAGCCTAGACATTGGCCTCTGGAACCCTTGGATGCAAAAGCGCCTATGTTCCAAAAAACGGTTGGGGAAAAAATGCAAAAGGAACCCATTGAACCTTTTGTGTCCAGCTGGGTTTGGGTTTCCTGGCTGTGCTTTTATTTGCAACATTTTCGTAGGTATGGTCCCCGGTGCATGCTATATAGATATGCTCACATGTGATCACCCTTTTTCTGCAAAGTCACGCGTCGTATACAAAAACGTTTTTATCCACAGATCTAAGGCTGCTGTTGTCGGCCATTCTGAATTCCAAAGATGGGGTGGTAGTCGCTTTTGGCTTGGTCTGTTCCACCTTTATAACGATAAGCCGCGGGTCCACCTTTCGACACTACTTCTTGCCAGAAGGGGATCCTCATTCCCTGTCAGTTTCTCAAAGCAATTTGCTGGCAGCAAGGACCAATGGGTTGAAACTATGAATTTATTCACTTAAGACAGAAAAGGGTCATATCTATATATATGTGTGTGTTTATATTGAATGCTCAGCCCTGAACTTTGATTTTTTTTCTTGGGTTCGCGCGCCGGCGTTCCCCAAAAGGACCCCAAAATAGGCGCGCGAACCCACTGGAAAAAGCGCAAACCTTTGCTGGGGAGATCACCAACTGAGTATTTTAATGGGCACACCAAAAGATTGAATCTGTTCCCTTTTCCCTAGTCCAGTACATGACTAGCTATGCAACCCCTGCAGGACATTTCTCGCCATGCTTGTGGTAATGGCGAAGCAAGGAGTTCGGGTTTTAGAGCAGCCGAGCACAAGCTTGGCATTCCGTCTTCGAGGGTTCCAGAAATTACTTCGAACATGCACTGTTACCAGGCATGAAACAGGATGTATGTAAGTTGTGGCTACGCTATGAAGTTTCCAGCAATTAGAGTTCTAAACAAACGCCATAAACAATTTTTAAAATTGCACAAATCATCACTGAAATGGCAAACCGCCAGAAGGGGGAACATGTTGTAAGTTACTTCCCATTTGCAGTTACCATCCTCCCTTTTTGGGTGATTCTAGGAGATGGGGTCCCAGCCAGTGTTTCTTCGCTGCCTGGCCAAGGTCTTCCGGCAATCATTTTGGATGCGGGGCTTTGGCAGCAAAATGCCAAAGAGAACTACTCTTTGGAGTAACAGCAGTGGTGTCCGATTTTTTTGCACATCGAAGAAAGCCAAGAAGGGTCGTGGTGGTGCTACCCCAAAATTGGCTGACACCTACCGAGATGCCCTTGGGAGGAAGAGATTTAAAGGAAATGCAAATCTTCGCAGAAGTCAGCACCTAGGCGTAATCTAAATCATAGGATGGATGTCGTTCTTGTTTGCCTTCCTATTTTCTTCATATTTCCATGCAGCTAAGGGAATACCCTGTGGGCTTTGGAGTTCGATTCGCAGAAAGCATGAAGCACCTGAAAAAGGAAAGGTCGTCGTTGAAACAACCAAAATGGGCACCTAGACTTACACGACCGGTTCAAAGTGGAGCCCCAAATACCGTTTCAACAAAATGTTTGCTTACCACGTAAAAACTAATTTACAAAAAATCGATGGATCGATACATATATATATATAGGCAGATAGATAGATAGATAGATAGATGGATGGATGGATGGATAGATAGATAGATAGATAGATAGATAGATACATAGACAGATAGGTAGATAGGTATAATTATATATATATAAGGAGGCTTTGTAAAAATGGTGGTATACTCTCAAATCATCTAAAAAAATGAACGGCCCATGATTCCGGGGTTCCCCGTGTCTAAAAATATTGACACCGCATATGCCTCGTAAATTCAGAATAAAATGAATCAGGGCAGGGTTCTGTTACACATATTTTCAGATTATATCCCAAGGGGTAAGGCTACAAAAGCCTGTCACCACCCATGTTCGCCACTTCCATCAGCGAACCTGAGGCTCCGGATGCAGAAGATATTCGCTCCTGGCACGTGACTCCAATCCCGGGACTTGATGATCTATATGAAGAAGCACGGATGTATGAGGTCGTGGAATATCTCCAGGGGGGCTTCTTCCTTAACTTACCAGAAGCTTGGGAAGGCTGTAGGTTGCCAAAGGACATCCCTGAAACCGCCAATAGGCCTACGGGGGGCAACCCCTAACTAATCCACGAGTCGTGGAAACAACAATTCGATCCCGTTTTGTGCAGACTCTAGGAAAATAGGCAACAGTGGCAGAAATCGGGGACAGTGGCGTAAATACAAGTCAAAGTGGCGTAAAAAACCGTCCATTTTGTACTCCTAAAATAGGCAACTTTGGGCTGTCCCCGGTATTCGGGAAATTCACTCTCGTGTGCGAGCTTAGTGCTGTTCACACGCGCCAATTCATGGGTGATCGACCTTGGCACTGGAAAGAGCCTGAAAGATTTCGAGTTTAGAGATGTTTTGGGACACAATTTACATTCCAGGCGAGCACAATGCATCTTAGGCATGTTTGCCCACATTCGGAGGTCCCATCGTGCAATGTTCCACATGCCAAAGTGTTGCAGTGAATGGTTTAAGGGTTGCGACTGGTGCCTAGACAAACATGGCGTCGGAGCCACCTACCCGACAATGGTCATGTGCGACACTATACCGGGGGTCTAGCTTCCTTGCAGAGCAAAGGGAGGCGAACAAGGAGTTGACCTTTGATGGACTTGTTGCTGTTTCAGGGTTGCAAAATGTTGAAGCCGACAAAGCTCCCATTTAGAGTCCATTTGGTGGCACTATCCTGTCCACCCCGCGCCGTGTTCCCAAGCCGCAACCCAGGCTGCAAAGGAGCGCCTGCGAAAGCTGAAGGCGATGCCTGCTGATCCGCCTCAGAGGGCGAGCTCGGTTGAATCCTTCGCTACCCATAGCCCATGTCCGAAGACAAAAGCATCCCCACCCAGTTCAGCAAAGGCATTGAAGAATGTTGACCAGGATAGGGATGTAGATCTGTTTTCAACAGGGACATTGGCCCAACTTCCCGACCCCAGTCTGTTTTTACTTTGTAACCTTGAAGTATGTTTCATCTCATGCAGCCCTTTTCTTGGGTGGGGAATGGGGCAGGAGACCAGCATACCAAAGGCGACATCTTCGGGCTCGAAGCCAGACGCCTCTAAGGGACATCCTAAAGAGGCCACGTAGAATTTCAATTCATATAATATAAGCGTTGACTAGAGCACTGTCTTCGAACTGAAACCTTTTAACTGAGTGCTGTGGAATGGTTGCCCTTGTTTTTCCCCACATGCCTTTGAATTTGATGCTGCTTTCCTGCACCATTCTGGTGCAGGCAGCAGAGACTGAAAGGGATACCGAACCCAAGAAGGCCAGGAATCTGGGAAAAGGATGGCTGGGCATGGAGATGGATGCTTCACACCACCATCAGGGGCCCTTGAATTTTTGAACAGTAGCAGGGAATATACTTAATGTCTAGCTAGAGAGAGAGAGAGATATGGAGAGAGACAGAGAGAGAGATATGGAGAGAGACAGAAAGAGAGAGATATGGAGAGAGACAGAAAGAGATAGAGAGAGAGATATATATATATAGATATAATGAACAGTGTTTGGTCAAGAGTAAACAAAAGAACAAATATAGGTACACATAGAATCTATACTATGTTTGTGTATACACACACACCTACTCAGCTAGCAGCTACACTTCAAACTTTATACCATTCGGTTCGATAAGTACCCGTATTTTTAGGTGTTTAAAAGTACACAGCTATAAACATTCAGTAAAACCATCCAACGACACCCAAACTAGCATACATAAACTACAACATAAGCCCAACATCCACCCCTGAGTAGAATTTGTTTTACCAGTAGGAGTAAGAAATGATCCTAACCCCCCGAAAAGGCTCCAAGCCAAGAATCTTAGCTTTTGTTTGGTTGTTTGGGCTAGCTTGGCCAGCCAGATGGCCTAATAGTGGCTTAAGATGGGCCCAGCATGTGTTCAAAATAGGCTAAAGTGTCTTCTTACGCACGTACCTGTTTAGATGCATACGCACAGGCATGCATACACATGCATACTTACCTGCTTAGCTATGTAGCTATAATATTCGGAGCACAGTAGATTACAGTACATTACAATAGGTTTACCAAGCACATGTACAAACCCCAAATATCTCCAATTGATGCACAAAACTCGCCCCTCCTAGTTAACCTCCCGCCACCGCAGGCTGATGCAGATGACGATGCCAGGATGATGTCGTCGTTGGCTGCTGCTTTGCGCCGCATTTGTATGCCGAAACCTGCCAGCGGAAAGCTGGAGGTTTCCCAGGAGATCCACAGGCAGTTCAAAGCTGGAGGTCAACAGCGAAAATGCTTGTTGGACATGTTGGTGAAATCTAAGGGCAACAAGGACCAGTGTTGTTTATTGTCTCCATGTTTTGGTTTTAATTTTATCATTGAACACCCCATATGAAGATAGAACAATGTACCAACACGCGGTTGTCAGATCCCCTCAAAGGAAGTATTTCTGAAAACCATCGAGCACCAGCAGAAAAAGTCCCGGAAGAACAACTTGCATGTGGAAAAGGGGTTCTACACCAAAGCAAACATGAAGAAGGACTTAGGATGGGATGCGTCCCCTTCTTAGATCAGCCCTTCACCAATTGACCAATAGCAGTACGAGCTTGAAATCTGAATTCCTTCCCATTCCGGGTCCCTGCAAACAACTGAGGGATAGGATTAAAGCTGCAGTGAAATACTGCGCTGACCCACGCAGAGCCAAGACTCACGTCAGGCTTGGGGGCCCAATTTCTCTTTGAGAATTTCAAAAATCATGGTGTCCACATGGGTTTTGATCTTTCTACTCCCCCATCTTCGGTTAGCCCCCATGCAGGCGGGACAAATACCAGAGCCACATCAAGGAGTATTGGGTGGATGTGCAAACAACCGGCAGTTTCGATGATGAGAATGAAGAAACCTTTGTAGATAAGACCACGGAGGAGGGACAAGCTGCGTCCTTCGACTTGGGGCTCCCAGCCACTGACCCATGCGCAGCAGCACGAGGTGAAGATGAGCCTGAGCCAGTGGACACCGACCATGAGGTCGACGATGACATGGACGACGGCACCAGCAGCAGAATGAGCAGAACACGGGTTCCCCCCAGAAGTGAAGTTCAAAAAGAACACGCCCTAGAGGCTGGGTCCACAAAAAAGGTGAAATTGTAAACATATTCTTTAGGATCTTTGGTTTGCCGCATGCTTCAACTGTCCATGCCTTTGGGAGGCCATTGAGAATGTTGGGACTGTGATGTCACAACTCTTGAAAGTTCAGTCTCGCATGGAGATTGCCCGGGACAAGCTTTCAAATATCGATGGCAACGAAGCCCAAGAGTTTTTGATCTGCAGCATTAACATGCCATGACGAAACATGCGCATTCGAATTTTGAATTGGTAGACCCAACTGTTCTTCGTAAGGAGCATGGCCAAAGTTGAGAAGTTTCGCACCAGCTTGATGAAATTGCATGACGAGTTGGCGGACCTCAAGTCCTTTTTTGATGGGCATATGAGTGACGATGCTTTTGATGATGGGAGTCTTGGTGGGCCAATCCTTCAAGCATGAAAAAATCCTTTGAGTCCACATTGCCTACTCCTCATTCTTCACCTCATCATGTGCTTAAGGAAAACGAAGGCGCTTCACGAAACTATCCGGAAAATCGAAGTCGAGCTGGGATCCTAGAGTCTTACAACCCCACGTGCATGCAATGTGGGGGGTGCCTAAAACTTTGTCCTGTTAACCTGCCACCATTTGCCTTGAGGTCATCCCGTGCCTTGATGGAGGATACAAAGCTGAGAAAGCTTGGGCCTGAAAAACAAAACTATGATAGTTTCATATTTGGCCATATGTCACTGAAATCATAGATCCTTTTCCCAAGACTTAGGACAATTCTGAAGGCTCCGCGAGCTGCCTCTGCCACCCCGAAGGCAAAGGCTAAGTCAAAAGCTGCTCCCAAAAAGAGGTCCAAGAAGGCTGCCCCCGTGGAGGATGAGGAAGAAGCCCCCCCAACTACCAGGGGAAGGGGAAAGCGCCTTCGAAAGTCTTCTTGAGGCGGAGGCGGTCTGCATACACAGAGAGAGCTAGAGAGAGAGAGAGAGAGAGAGATATAGAGAGAGAGATATAGAGAGAGAGATATAGAGAGAGAGATATAGAGAGAGAGAGAGAGATAGAAGGATAGATAGAAATCTATCTCTCTCTCTCTCTCTCTGTCTGTCTGTCTGTCTATCTAGCTAGCTAGCTAGCTACCTACCTACCTACCGAATCTGTCTATCTGTCTATCTGCCTGTCTGTCTATCAATGTCTATCTACCTATCTGTCTACCTATCCATCTACCTATCTTTCTATCTATCTATCTATCTATCTATCTGTCTGTCTATCTATCTATCTATCTGTCTATCTATCTACCTACCTATCTATCTATCGATCGATCGATCTATCGATCTATCGATCTATCGATCTATCTATCTATCTTTGTACCTATCTATCGATCGATCTATCTATCGATCTATCTATAGATCTATCTATCGATCTATGTCTAAATTTGTTGTCGTTTAAACTGTCCCGGGTGTTGGCCTGGGTTTATCTTCGGGTGCCACCAGAGTTCAGCCATGTGCCCATCCAGCGGCTTCTGCAGGCCTCTGCAGGGGGATGACGATGATCGGTTGAGCGCCAGCGCCTGGTTGCGACTGAATGGGCTTTTTGTGCATGGGAGACACATCATCTCCTGTCAATCCTTGCCACCTTTAGTGTGGTCTTTTGGGTGTGGACGCATGGCCCCGAAGAGAAGTTTTAAAACACAAGACAACTTGAATGTCCCATTCTTTCCATTACCACTTGGTTTTTGTTTTGGGGGCATTGCGTGAGGCCTTCACGTGCTGGATTTCCAGCAAGCACGGTTTGCGAAATCAATTTCGATCGGCAATTCTACCTCAGAGAGGGTATCAAATTTGATTTGGGGAACAGATCTTTGCAGAAAAGAACCTTTAAAAAGTGAAAGAGGCATGTTGGCGCTGCCCTGGCAACATTTCCAACAAACAAAAGAGCCAAAAAGGAACCCCCCCGGGTTCCTTTTTGGATGTTTCATATGTTTTCTTTGAAAAAAAACATATGTTTTTGGGGTATCATTGTGGTTGGCACCACTTTGCCCACGCAGGTCCACGGCCTCCACCAGAAGCGCCAGCACCAGCAAAGTTCAAGAGCGGTCCTGCTGCCAAAGCGCTTGCCAAAGCAGTGGCCAGTGGAGCTACTTGGCTTTGGTCTTGGTTTTGGGGGCCCCTGTTTGAATGGAAATTGGCATCTACAAGCTGACCTCCAATGCTGCGCCATCAGGTATCAGAAGCTGAAGCTTGCGCCCTTGCCCGGGCATTTTGGGAAGAGTTTTCACACCTTGTGCCTCCTAAAGCTGCCCCTCCAAGTTCGCAGTTCTTACGGATGGCAACCCGGTTATCCAAGACTCGTCATGAATGCAGGTTTGTTCGCAATTTTGCTGACTATGGCCTAGCGGCCGACATTCCGCTAAGTTTCTACGATGTGGGACTGAAAGGAAAACACCCTGCATTGGCATTGTCTGACATCGTCAAGTGCTTTGACCAAAAGAACAAACTGGAGGTTCTTACACAAGGGCATGGCGAACGTGAATTCAAACAATTCTGGGAAACATGGCGGCTGGTACAGCCGAAGCACCCGATTTTTGAGACTCATCGAGGTCGAGAGGGGCAGTGCATACCAGTCTGCGTACATTGCGATGAAGGAACGACTTTGAAAAAAAGAAGTATCATGATCATGCAGGTGGAGCCATTGATGGGAAAAGGCACACGCAAACGTAAAAGCACGCAGGATGAGCCAGGCTGCAACTTGCTGGGTTCCTCTGTCACAAACCGTGTTTTGTGGAGTGTGATGCTATCACGTGTATACTCTGGCAAAAAACTTGGTAACAAGCCCTATTGCTGAAGCTGATCGATCATCTAGCTACGCAGCTGTCTGGCGCATTTTACAATGGTTTTGATCTTGCTCGCGAATCGAAGAAGATCTACATGGTTCCGATCGCCATGAAGGGCGACTGGCCCGCTTTGGCGAAGGTGGGCACATTATTGCGGCATTTTGGGCGGCAAGTGAAATCTGGAAACGGTGGTGGCCATGGTATTTGTCACCTGTGCCAAGCAGACCGGCCATCCTTCGAGAATTGGCATGATGTGAGCTGGGCAAACATGTGCAAAATGCACAATGGTTGTCTACTACCATGGGTGCGTGAGCCCGGACTCTTGGCGGCGGTCCCGATCCCCGATGAATACAAGGCAGAATTCTTTCGCTTCGACATTTTCCATGCATTGCACAAAGGATTGATGGCAGACATGGCGGCCAATGCGATTGTGTTTTGGCTTTTTTTTGGGCAGCTTTAGTGTGGGTCCCCTATAGCTCTTAAGGTCAGGAACAACTTTTTGTAATGCTGCCTGTAGAATATCAGGTCTGCTGCTTCGACGGCGAAGTCTTTGGGGCAGGTTCTTTTGAGCGTCTTTGTGACGTTTGCTTTGCTGAGCTCAAGGAATTCTGCAGAAGCCACTCCATGACACTCCACATGAGCGGCCTAACCCGCACTCTGTTGGGTTTCATGCGCTCTAGCGACTATCCTACAGGGAAACTCTGCTATATCTTAACGCGTTTTTCTTTTTCTAAATTGATGTCCTTATCACAGTGCTCTACACCTCCTTCGGCCCAAAAGAACGGAAGCTTTTGCCCACAAAAGTGTAATTATCTACCTGCTTCAGGGATACTGCTGCTGACGTGTAGTTCAACCTTCGCACAGCATATCGCTTCGAAAAAATATTTTTTCTGTTCAACCCATTGCTTTTGCGGTTGGGAGTTGGCATCAGCCTAGGAATTGGTTCAAAGGAGCCGATACTGTGTGCATTTTGGCCTTTCTGGAGTCGCGGATTGCAGAGTCGCTGGCTGATTTGGACGATTCTGCCAAATCCCTTTTTTCGGAAATTTATGAGATGATAGCTGCAGCAAATAGCTTCATGCGTTGCATTTACCACTCAGCGCTCTGGCTGACTTCGGATGAACGAGACCATCTCCTGATTTCTGGCCACAAGTGCGTAAACTATTTCCACAAGTGTGCCCAAAGGGCCTTTGATGCGCACGTGACACGATGGAAATACATGCCCAAGATTCACCTTTTTGGTGAGATCCTGTTTTTCTTAGAGCGCGACAAGCGAAGGAATATTCCCAGTTTAAACCCCCTTTCGTTTTGCACGCAGCAAGACGAAGATTTTGTTGGCAGGATTGCAGTCCTATCGCGTGCTGTATCGGTTAGAACGGTGCACTCGCGTACGATAGGTCGCTACTTAGTGTCTTTGGCATCCAGTTGGTGACACTTTTCCCATCAAGGCTACGGTTATATGATCAAATTCTTGACAACACGTTTCAAGGAAACTATTTTCAGTGTTCACCCACGGTGCCGCATCTGTCCTCGGACGACCATAGCAGCTTCAGTCGAAGCATGTTGGTGGCTGCTGTGAAGGCAAATGTTTTCAACTTTACATGTTCAAGAAACATTCTGGGTGATATGAGGTCCCATTTTGCTAAGATGATTTTGATTTGTTGATTACAGCCTCCAAACCAAGTTGCATCAAACCCAAAGCATTGCTTGAGACGGACCAAGGCAAGGCTGGAAATGGCAGGGGGGAAAGTGGCAGGAATGTGGAAACAAAACCGGCTACTTTGCATGGTTGCCTATTTTTATAGGCAAACAGGTTTTCCAGGTATTGGCATTATTTTCCAGAAAAGCCCAAAAAGACACGGAAATCCCGTCCTCAAATGAGGTTCCCATCACAAGCCCAGAAAAAACACGGAAATTCCGTTTTCAAATAGAAGATATTGGCATTATTTTCCAGATGTTCCCATCACAAGCCCAAAAAAAGGAAAATCCCGTTTTCAAATACAAGATATTGGCATTATTTTCCAGAAAAGCCCAAAAAGACACGGAAATCCCGTTTTCAAATGAGGTTCCCATCACAAGCCCAGAAAAAAACACGGAAAACGCCGTTTTCAAATAGAAGATATTGATATTATTTTCCAGAGGTTTCATCACAAGCCCAAAAAAAAGGAAATCCCGTTTTCAAATAGAAGATATTGGCATTATTTTCCAGGAGAGGTTCCCCTCACATCACAGCCTAAAAAAGGGAAACCCGTTTCAAATAGAATCTATTGGCAATTATTTTCCAGAGGGTTTGCCATCAAAGCAAAAACAACAACGGAAATATCCCGTTTTCAAATAGAAAAGTATGGGCATTATTTTCCCAGGGGTTCCCATCACACAAGCCCAAAAAAAAAGGGAAATCCCTTTCAAAATATGCTTGTCAAATCTGAATGGGATATTGGGCCTCTGTTCCCCTTGAACGGGTAGAGAAGATATTGGCATTATTTTCCAGAAAAGCCCAAAAAGACACGGAAATCCCGTTTTCAAATAGAAGATATTGGCATTATTTTCCAGAAAAGCCCAAAAAGACACGGAAATCCCGTTTTCAAATGAGGTTCCCATCACAAGCCCAGAAAAAACACGGAAATTCCGTTTTCAAATAGAAAATATTGGCATTATTTTTTAGAGGTTGCCATCACAAGCCAAAAAAAAAATGGAAATCCCGTTTTCAAATAGAAGATATTGGCATTATTTTCCAGAGGTTCCCATCACAAGCCCAAAAAAAGGGAAATCCCGTTTTCAAATAGAAGATATTGGCATTATTTTGCAGAGGTTCCCATCACAAGCCCAAAAAAAGGGAAATCCCGTTTTCAAATAGAAGATATTGGCATTATTTTGCAGAAAAGCCCAAGAAGACACGGAAATCCCGTTTTCAAATGAGGTTCCCATCACAAGCCCAGAAAAAAACACGGAAATTGTTCGTTTTCAAATAGAAGATACTGGCATTATTTTCCAGAGGTTCCCATCACAAGCCCAAAAAAAGGGAAATCCCGTTTTCAAATAGAAGATATTGGCATTATTTTCCAGAAAAGCCCACAAAGACACGGAAATCCAGTTTTCAAATGAGGTTCCCATCACAAGCCCAGAAAAAACACGGAAATTCCGTTTTCAAATAGACGATACTGGCATTATTTTCCAGATGTTCCCATCACAAGCCCAAAAAAAGGGAAATCCCGTTTTCAAATAGAGGATATTGGTATTATTTTCCAGAAAAGCCCAAAAAGACACGGAAATCCCGTTTTCAAATGAGGTTCCCGTCACAAGCCCAGAAAAACACGGAAATTACGTTTAAATAGAAGATATTGATATTATTTTCCAGAGGTTGCCATCACAAGCCAAAAAAAAAACAACGGAAATCCCGTTTTCAAATAGAAGATATTGGCATTATTTTCCAGAGGTTCCCATCACAAGCCCAAAAAAAACAACGGAAATCCCGTTTTCAAATAGAAGATATTGGCATTATTTTCCAGAGGTTCCCATCACAAGCCCAAAAAAAGGGAAATCTCGTTTTCAAATAGAAGATATTGGCATTATTTTCCAGAGGTTCCCATCACAAGCCCAAAAAAAGGGAAATCCCGTTTTCAAATAGAAGATATTGGCATTATTTTCCAGAAAAGCCCAAAAAGACACGGAAATCCCGTTTTCAAATGAGGTTCCCATCACAAGCCCAGAAAAAACACGGAAATTCCGTTTTCAAATAGAAGATATTGATATTATTTT